TGGGTGTCTCTGAGTTGTTTCTCCTCACCTGTAACCCTGGGGCTGACTGCTCTTCTGTCCGATTTTCTGGCTTTTTATCCCCTTTCTCCTGCTCTTCCGGCCTGCTACTCTGGGAGTAGTGCTACTGCCTTGGAAACCCAAGGAGGGATCGCCATGAGTCGGGTCCGACTTGATGGCACACGATGACAACAACAACAACAACAACTAGTTATTGACAGAGATAAGCCTAATTCTCTTGTCCTCCAACTCCAAGCCTAGTGTTATTGTACTAGCAGGTTTGCAGTAGTTGATGGGGTGGTGATAAAGAACATGATTGTATTTGTAGGGGAATATCTAATGAATCATTTTCATTAAAATGATCATTCCTGGGTAGTAGTATAGGAATTTGTGGACCAAATGAAATTCCTTCTCAGCATGGTATGGAAAATGAGCCACAATAAACACTTCAGTTTTACAGCATAACCTGTAAGGCTCATCTGAGAGGACTGGCATGCTAGAAAGGCCATGAGCTTTTATAGGTGAGATCCTTATTCTCTCTGAGCCTCCATTTGTTCATCTATGAAACAAGGATTTAATAGCAGGATCATAGCATTACATATAATGCAGCAGGATGCCCTCCTACACATTAAATGTGCTTTTAGATTTCTCCAACAAGAGAGGTACCCCACTAAAGGAACTCCCAAAGAAAGGTAGGTATGATGCATCTTAGTGTACCTCTTAAAGGGTAGGCTAAGGCCTAATAAGAATGTGAGTGTAGGACACTCTGGAGATATGGAGTCCAGTCTACCTTAGACAATAGAGCCTTGGAGGTTACAACAGCCTGCACAAGGGGTCTGGACTCATCTCAGAATAGATTAACAGCACAAGATGGACCATAAGGACTAATTTTCCACAGTGTATCATGTAACCCTGAGAAGAGATGGAAGCAATGGTCTGTGGGGCCAGTGCCTTCTCTGCTTGGCTGAGGAAGTGGGACTGATAACCTATGTGGATTGCATAAGCCCCAGGTTGTGTGATGAAACTGAGATCAGGCAGCCAATGAGAGTCAAAACAGAACTGTGCTCCTTCCACTCCACCAGACAGGTTGCCTTTCAAGGTCCTGCCACCAAGGTTAACCAGCTCTATGAACTGGTTAGGATTTTACTCATCATTTCACTGATTTGTTCTCTTTCTTGGAGTCTGTGTCATTTCTCTTTCCCTTTTTCAATGTCTTTCCTTCATGCTGTGGCCATCCATTTAGAGCTCTTCCCTGTGCTCCTCTCCCTGGTCATTCTTCTTTTGTCTGATTGTTTCTCATTCTCTCATTTTATGCCTCTCTGCCTTTACTATTTCTAAACTTGCCTTTTCCTAGAATTCTTAATATGAAAATAAATTATACCTAAGCAAATAACATTCTCATGTGTTACGTAAATATATAAACATCTGTTTTATGCAAATATATTCTATGCATACAATTTTGTGTTTCTTGAGCTTTATTTTAGAAATTAGTTTAAATCTTGTATCAGTCTCTTAAAATCTTCCTGCCTTAAGTTGTTCTTTGTTTTCCTAGAAGCCTCGATTATATTTAATTAACATCTCCACTTGGGTACAAATTTCATTTAATTAAAATAAAGGTATGCCTCCTACATTATTAGTTTGCAGTAGTTGAAACTACTACCATGGTAATAATACCCATTCAGAGGAATTTCTTCTTCTCCAGGATTACTGTTTTATTGAATTTTCCAGGTGTCCCTGTGGCCATCCATAGAATTATAAATGAGGGTTTCCTTCATGAAAAGTCAACATACCGAAGGCTTATAGACAGAAGTAGGAAGTGTGTGTGTGTGTGTGTTCGTGCAAGTGTTTGGGGTTGGAGAAGAAGTGAGTTATGATGCTTCCTGACAGGAATCAAGACTGCAAAATAAGTATTTCCTTATGCTAATAAGGACAGAGATGATTTGCTTAATTTTTCATTTTCCATATACTTAGCAGATTCCCAATATATTTTAAAAGTTTGTTGTAAGAAGTTCTTTACCTTGAGAGGGTGATTACCTGTTTCTCTGTTAGAATTACTCTCCTTAGTAACTGATTCTCAAGTCCTTTCATTGTAACGGTAAAATCAATGACAGACGTCTTAGCATTGATCTCAGGGGTAAAGGCAGGGTTTGGTAACTTTGTAGTAATATAAAGTTTAAATGTATCCATGATATCACATTCCTTATCACCGACTTTCACCTATATCAATTCAAAGATAAAATTAGAAACAGCTTCAAGGATAGCACAAGAAATTTGGGTTCAATATAGGAAAGAATTTATGAAAGGTAAGCACTATGCCACTAGAATGAATTGTGAAGGAAATTTATAAAATTTTAATTATTGATCAATAAAGCCAATTAAATTAGAATAATTTAGATCTGTGGTCCTGCCTTAAGATGTTTTTAGCCACGACACCAAGAAAATTAAATGAAACTGTAGCCCCCCCCCCCAAAAAAAAATAGTGACCAAAGGAGAACTCAGATGCACCTAAGATTTGACTTTAAAATTTCAGGAAGTGCTATGGTGATTTGTCTTTCTCTCTCTTGCCAATTGTTATAGTACCAAAACCCACCAAACCCACTGCCACCTAGTTTATTCCAACTCATAGCAACCCCCACTGTAAATCATTACAGAAGTAGATTGCCTCATCTTCCTCCTGTAGAGAGGCTGGTGGGTTTGAACCATTGACCTTCTGGTTAGGAGCCAAATAACTTACACATTGCACTACTAGAGCTCCTTTGTTATAGTATGTTGTTGTTGTTATGTGCCATCGAGTTGGACCCAACTCATAGCGACCCCTCCTTGGGTTTCCGAGGCAGTATCACTACGGAAGTAGGATTGCCCAACCTTCCTTCCGAGGAGTGGCTGGTGGGTTTGAACCACCAGCCTTCTGGTTAGCAGTCAAGTGCCTTAGGCACTATGCTACCAGAGCTCCTTGTTATAGTATAGGAGCTGCTTTTTTTTTTTCTTTCTGTCTTGAGAAAATTCTTTCCTACTATGGAAACTTGCTGTATTTACGGGCAGTATTGTTCTTCTTGCATTTCATAGTCATGTGTGAAACACATGTGACAACAGAAGGAGTTACTGCAATTTTCAAACAGGCCCACACTTTGTTTTTCAGTATGATAGCAGTTGTCTTAAATATTACTATTTGCAATATATTGAAGCATAACTTCTTTTTGCTATCTAAAATTCAAGTGGGAATTATAACACTTGTAAATGACTTAAATTTTTAATTAATCTTAATCCTGTATGTGGTTGAATAGCATGCCATATCATTAAGGACATTAAAACAATCTGAGGCACCATGGCTTCATGTTAGAGATAAGAACCTGGGATCTTCTCAAAGCCCTTCAGAAATGGAGATTCCACAACCTTCTTTGACATGTTAAATATGGCACATACAAGAATTGACATTAAAAAGAAATTTTTTTCTAAATAAATCTTTGTTTAATAAGAAAATCTCCATTTTTCATTTATTCAGTAATATTTATGAAATTAAGTTGTCCAAAATGAAAAAGACTCAATCAGAAATGCTGACATTCACCAGGAAATAAAACCAAAGAAGCCTGAAGATAGCGAATGACAACAATTAAAAAAGAAACACATTGAAACAATTCATGTTCTCATGAACAGTTGGGAACAGTATCCCATAGCTTCCAGCAAAGTCAATGAGTTCAGATTGAAAGTTAATAAAGGGAGAAATGAACAAATCAATGTCTATAGACTTTATTAAAATACCACTTTCTCTAGGAGGAAATCCAAGTGTTCTCTTGTGTGTGTGTGTGTGTGTGTGTGTGTATAAAACCAAACCAGCTGATTCTGTCTTATAGGAAACCTATGTGTTTCAGAATAGAGATGTACTCCATAGGGAATTCACGGCTGTGATCTTTGGGAAGCAGATTGCCAGGCCTTTCTTCTGAGGTCCTCTGGGTGGGTTCAAACCATCAACCTTTCCATTAGTAGCCCAGTGCTTAACTGTTTGTACCACCTAGGTACATGTTGTTATTTGTTGGGCACCATTGGCTTGATTCTGACTTACAGCCACCCTGTGTGACAGAGTAAACCTTTCTCAAGTCAGTTCTAACTCGTACCAAACCAAGAAGACAGAGTAGAATTGTTCCCAAAGGGTTTCCAAGTCTGTAATCTTTATGGAAGCAGACTGCTACATCTTTCTCCCAGACTCCCAAATTTTCTGGCACTAAGCAGCCTGTGACTTTGCACTGCCAACCTCATATTTATAACTTACAAATATATATATCTTCCTAAACAAATTTTCTCACAGTTGCTAGTACATAGACAGATAGATTATAACACTGATACATTATTGTTATAACCAGACATGTGTTTCCTTAATATGTCTTTTAGTTTCAGCTACATGGCTACTTTTACCAAGATAATTCACTCCTCTTGTATTTTTTATATACTATTAAAAAATAATAATAAAAGGAAACACTGAATATTAGTTTGGAAATGTTGTACTAATACTAGCCTCTGAAGGAAACTGCCTTTGCTGCTATGCTCAAAAAGATAAGTAGATGTCACCATTGTTCTTTTCTTTTTTACAAAGCTCACCTTGAAAGTGGTGCCCGATTTAATGAAATTCTTTTCTAATACATTATCCAGGGCTGGATCCAGCTCCTCACGGATGTCCTCAATGAGGAGGGGTCGGCCCAAGGAAAGGCTGTCCTCCAAGTGTGTGCGAAAATACTTATGGTTCAGAGATGTCACCTAAAAATGAAAAGCTCATTAATATCTAACTGTTATAAAGAATGTACCCATAACTAAGTGGAAACCAAGGCATTTATTAGGCAAAGGACTAAGAATTTTAAGAGCAATATAGGAGTTTTGCTTATAATAAAAGTAGCAAGCAAAAAGTAATTTTCAGGACTTGGTGAGTCATGACTTGTTGAAGCACTGGATGTGTAATGGGGTCTGATCGATAGAAGAGAACCAAGTGGCATTCCTTAGACAGCATGTCAGAATTCTGCTCCTGAGAGGTGGAAGAGAACAAGTGAAGTAATTGTCCTTCTAAACTTACATAGCTACAACTGCTCAGAGAAAATAATTTGCAAAATGGTGATATTCATTCATCCTCTAAGGACTCCCATAAGAGGAATAAGTAAGTGATAAATAAAAATTAAACATAAGAATGTTAGAAATAATATACTGAGTAAAACCAAGGGTCCATTCATGTATTATATCTCTAACAATGTCACAATGACAGATGCTGCATAAAGTGAATGTAAAAAACTACAGATAGAGAGATAGCTGCCTTGGAGTTGACTCTGACTCATGGCAACCTTAGGAACAACAGAAGGAAATGTTGGCTGGTCCTACATCATTCTCAAAATCACTGGCATGTTCCAGCCCATCATTGCAGCTATTCCACTGGTTCATCTCACTGAGCATTCCCCTCACCCTCACTGGTCCACTACTTCACCAAATCTGATGTCATCCTCAAGCAATTGATCCTTCTTGATGAACGTCCAAAGCAACTGAGTTGCACAATGTTCTGTTGTGATCCATAAGGTTTTCATGGGCTAATTTTAAAAAGTAGATCACCAGGCCTTTATTTCTAGTCTGTCTTAGTCTGGAGGCTCTGCTAAAACCTGTCTACCATGTGTGACTTTGCTGGTATTTTAAATATGGGTGGTATAGCTTCCCGCATTACAGCAGGACACAGGCCACCACAGTATGTCAAATGACAGATTATAAATTCATCTTGCAAATTCCTGCATTAAAAAAAAATGCAGGGTCCTGCATTCTTAGGTCAATATTTGTTTTTAGTTTTTTATTTCTTGCTTTTAAAAAAAGATACACTGGACTAGATGATGTTTATCTGAACCAATTGGCTTTAAACTCCTGCTTCTCCTGTGATCTCTCCCTCTGCCTAACCATGATAATTCCCAAAGGCTCAGTCTTCAACTCTCTTTTCTACCTTCTTATACTTTATCCCCTGAACTCATTTACACTCTCCTCGATCCTTGCTAAGGCGCTCTGGCTGCACAGTCATTAAAGCATTTGGTGGCTAACCAAAAGGCCAGAGGTTGGAACCCAACAGCTGCTCTGCAGGAGAAAGATGAGGCAATCTGCTTTTTACAGCCTTGAAACCCTGTGGAACAGTTCTACTCTGTCCTATAGGGTCGCTATGAGTCAGAATTGACTCAGTAGCAGTGGGTGATCCTTGCTATGATTCCTTTGGGCTCTCTAGGAATGTTTATTGAATGATGCAATGTATTCTAAAGAATTAAAGAGATAGGATATCTATGGCATCCACTTGCCTGAGAGCTCATGCCACATATGGAGCTATCAAAAATCCTGGTACCTCAGTTGTATGTCTGATGACCCACAGGATCAGTGGTGGACAAAGGCAAGTGAACAAAAAGGCCCTATGGGTTGTTAAGTCAGGAGGAGTTTCACATAAGTATATTTTCAAACAGAAGAATAGCAGTCCTGCTAAATTCACTTACTAAATCTAATATTTTTATCTAATATTTTTGTGTTGAAATCCTAACCTGTATGCTTGTAAATATGGCCCTATTTGGAAACAAGGTTGTTTTTTGTTGTTGTTGTTGTTGTTGTTGTTATGCTGTATTTTCTTGAAGGCAACCTATTTTTGTTATGTTAATGAGATCATACCAGAGTGGAGTGGGTCCTAAACTTAATCATTTCTGAGTTATAAAAACAGCAGGACAGACACAAAGACACACATGGGGAAGATTCCACATGAAGACAGAAATACACGGCAGATGCATCTACAGGCCCAAGAATTGCCACCTACTAGAAGCTGAAATAAGCAGCATCACAATAAACGGAGAAAAGATTTAAGTTGTCAGGGATTTTATGGTGCTTGGATCCACAATCAATGCCCATGGAAGCAGCAGCCAAGAAATCAGAAGTGATACACTACTGGGCAAATGTACTGCAAAAGCCTTCTTTAAAGTGTTAAGAAGTAAAAACGGCTCTTTGAAGTCTAAGGTGCACCTAACCCAAGCCATGGTATTTTCAGTTACCTCATATGCATGTGAAAGCTGGACAATGGATAAGTAAGACCAAAGAGTTGATGCCTTTGCATTGTGATGTTAGTAAAGAATACTGAAAATATCACAGACTACCAGAAGAACAAACAAATCTGTCCTGAAAGAAGTACAGCCGGAATGCTCCTTAGAAGCTAGAATGGCCAGACTTTGTCTCACCTATTTGGTCATGTCAGAAGAGACTGTTCCCTGGGGAAGGATATCATGCTGGATAAAGTAGAGAGTCAGCAAAAAGGGGGAAGACCCTCAACAAGATGGACTGACACAGTGGCTGCAAAGATGGGTTCAAGAATAGCAAGGATTTTGAGGATGGTGCAGGACCAGGCAGTGTTTTGCTCAACACAGGGTTGCTGTGAGTTGGAGCTGATTCCGTGGCACCTAACAACATAAGCTGAAATAGACAAAGAAGGACCTCCTCCTGGAGCCATCCCCTGAATTCAGACTTCTAGACTTCTGAACTGTGAGAAAATAAATCTCTGTTCTTTAAGGCCTCTTGCTTGTGGTATTTTTTGGTTACAGCAGCCCTAGGTAACTAAAACAAGATTCTTTGGATTTTCTATATACACAATCATGACATCTATAAATAAAGAGTTTCATTTGCTCCACTCTAATCCTTGTATGCTTTTTATTTCCTTCTCTTTATAGTTTGCTGTCGGCTTTTTGTAAATAATTTTCATCTGATTAAGAAAAATCCCTCTTATTCTTAGTTTGCTGGAAGTTTTATCATGACTGGGTCTTGAATTTTACTAAGTGCTTTTTCTGCACTTATCACATGACCACATGATTTTTTCTGTTTTCTCCTGTAATGATTACACATTGTGATTAATTCATTTAAATTTAATAAACATAAGCATTCCTATTCTGTATAAAGAACTGTCCAGAAAAGATAAAGATGAATAAAGCCATAACCCTGGCCAACAAGAAATTATGGTACAGTAGACATAAAATACAAATGTGCAAAGAACTAGAATTCAAGACAGACTATGTCCACATGAGAAATACAAATGAGATATTGTGATGATTCAGGACAAGATATATTAGGCTGAGGACACATAAAAGTCTTGATGAAGGTAGAACTGGATGGGGATTTTGAAGTGATATTTGAGATTTTTAAATGGACTGTAAGGAGCTCTGGTGGTGTAATGGTTAAGGCATTTGGTTGCTAACCAGAAAGTTAGCAATTCGAACCCACCAGCTGCTCCATAGGAGGAAGATGGGGCAAGCTACTCTCATAAAGATCTACAGCCTTGGAAACCCATTGGGGATTGGTATCAGTCAGAATTGAATCAATGGCAGTGAGTCTGTTTTCTTTTTATATTGAATGTAATTGTATTGGCCAGTAAAATGGAAAAGATATTCTGGTTAGTAGAAATAGTATAAGCAAAAATAGGGAGGCACCAGGATTAGAACTCTGGGGACAGTGTATAGTAAAGAATGAGTAGTCCATATGGGTAGGTGAATTGAAATACCAGTGGTAATAAGATCACCATGAGAGTCAGGAATTTGGGGAATCCTACCTTTGTTTACCCCTACCCCTCCTAACAAGATCCTCAAGAAAGAAGCGAAGGGAATAAGAGCAAAACACATAAATACGGTGTTGTTGTTAGCTGCCATCAAGTTGGCTCTGACTCATAGAGATGTTGTGTGCAACAGAACAAAAAGCTGCCCTGCCTTGCATCATGCTCACAGTCACCAGTATGAATCACCAGTATGTTGCTGAGTCCATCATTGTGGCTGTTAGTGGCCTTCTGCTTCACCTTATGAGACTCCAGCTCTAGGACAGGACTAGTATGCGTGTATGTGCTAGCTTGGTGGAAACGGCCTTGAACCAAGGAATCACCAACCTCTAATTTTGTTGTTTTCCTATCAGCACAAAAACAAGCCCCAGAACAAAAGCCACATCCAACATTGGCAAAAGCAATAGAGCCAGGGAGAGGCAAAGAGAAGGTGAGTGGAAGCAAGAGGGAATGTTGAAAAGATAATCAGAAACTTTGTGCCAATTTGCTGTTAGAAAACGCAAGCATGTAAATTAGAAAACATTTATCATAAAGATGACAACTTTATGCCTGGCAGATTCAATTGGAATTTTGGGGATATTTCATGATTGTGAGATTACTTTCCCATTCACATACCTGCAAATCATTTTCTTTTTCCTTTGATTTAATCCAAGTTTTGCCTTGAGTTTGTGGATCTATCAGGAGTGGATACCTGGTGGCCTTTGTCACAATAATGCCATTCTGAATTGAGAGGTCATCTCCTGGTAATCCCTGCAGCCCCCACTCACCAATCTGTATAATAGGAAATGGATATGGCCGTTCAAAGGGGAACAAGAATGCTTTCATTAGTAATTAAAAGCATCATAATTTTTAAAAGAATTTTAAAATTGGACATATTGATTTTCCTTTGAAACTATGCAACTAGTACCTGGTATCTAGGGAGGAAAAAAACAAACTTGTAAATGTGAACCGAGCAACATTAATTTAAAAGCAAAAAAACAGCTTTATGATCTAATGAATAATAACCCAAGACTAAGGTTAGCCCTTTGCATTGTATTCTCATACGTAGGAGGAAATGTTATAAAGTGATTGCATGTAGCACTTGATTTGGAACTTTTGGTTGCTGAACATTTGAAGAACATGGAGGCTTAAAATGTGGTGGGACTGAGTGTGTGGGTGGGGATCTAGATTGTCTAGCTTTAGTGGTGTAATGAATATAATGAGATATCAGAGAACATCCCAAGGGACAAGCCCTGAAAGTCCCCTTCCTGCCCTTTGGCTCTGCTTATATGCGAAAAGGGTGATTGCAGGGCTAAAGCCAGATAAATTAGAGAACAGAAGATATTATATTGGCAGGAGTTCATCGATAAAATTTTTGTAAACATTTTCTCCTCCAAATTAATGGTGAATTGCCAGACTCTCTCCACATGGTCAATAAAATCACTTGATATGCAATAAGCCAACCAGCCTCCAACTGCATTCAATTCCCCCAGGACCTCCAAAGGCCATAATTAATAAAGAATACCCTTGCCCACTTTAGGAGCTCTGGTGGTGCAGTGGTTAAGACATTGTGCTGCTGATGAAAAGGCTGGCCATTTGAACCCATCAGTCACTCTGCAAGGGAAAGATAAGGCAGTCTGCTTCCGTAAAGATTTACAGCCTTGGAAACCCTATGGTGCAGTACTGCTTGGTCCTGTAGAGTCACTAGGGGTCAGAATCAACTTGAGGCAGTGGGTTTGGTGGTCCACTTTGTGTCTCCAGGATCCAGTGCATCCCCCACACAAACCCTGTAAGGGATGGATCCAACATTGTTTTAATTGGAAAAGATTGTTTTCTAACTTTTTAAGTACAGATAACATGAAATTAATAGCCTGGCATCCTTAAGGAAACAGCAGCAACTGGGGAGCATATTTACAAATCAGGCAAGCAGCTCATAAATACAAATTGCCTGGGATGCAGTTATTACCACATGAGCTCTGTCAGATAGACTGAAAATTGGCAGTGCCATCCAAAGCCCAGCAAGGAAGGTTGTCGTTGTGGTTGTTATGTGCCGTCAAGTCGCCCCGACTCATAGCAACCCCTCCTTGGGTTTCCGAGGCAGTATCGCTAGGGAAGTAGATTGCCCAACCTTCCTTCCGAGGAGTGGCTGGTGGGTTTGAACTGCCAGTCTTCTGATTAGCAGTCAAGTGCCTTAGGCAATATCAAGTGCCTTAGGCACTATGCTACCAGAGCTCCAATATCACACAGTGATACTGGAACGGTGCTATTATATTACATTATCAGACACAAAAAAGATAGTTGATGATCAAAGTCAGGTTGATATCAACACCTCAGATCTAGATAATGTCTACATTTGTCTAAAATGTTTGAAAGAGAGTGGGACTTAACAGGAATGGTGTACTTAATGGAGGGTTATAAAAAGCTCAGTCAGTAGCAAGCGTAACTAACAAGCACTTTATCAGTTCACAGCAATGTGATTAGTTTTATTTTGAAAATATCAAGGAACTTGAATACCACAACAAGAATTCTTCTTCTTTCTTTTCTTTCTTTTTTTTTTTTTTTTTTGGTAAATCAAGCATTTTCAAAGCAAACTTCTCAATTAAATGGAAAGGGAGGGGTGCTGCAACCTGATTCCTTATTTCTTAGTAAGAA